CCAGGCTCCACCCCCAAAGTCTCCAGGTATTTTCCAACCCAGACCTGGCAACCCTAGGTATTCTTGGAGATGTTTGGGGAGGAACCTGGGACAGCAGGGACCTCAGTGAGGTAGAAAGCCATGGAGTCCACCTTTCAAAGCAGCCATGTTCTCCAGGGGAACGGATCTCTGTAACCAGAAACCAGCTGTAATTCCAGATCTCCTGCCACCACCTGGAGACTGGCAACCTTATAATCTGTTTTTTTAAGTAAAGGAAAAGCTAGATTCAGAAGAGGAGGAAGAAGAAGAGATTGGATTTATACCCCGCCCTTCACTACCCAAAGGTGTCTCAGAGCGGCTTACAAACTCCTTTCCCTTCCCCTCCCCACAACAGCACCCTGTGAGGTAGGTGGGGCTGAGAGAACTCTGACAGAAACGGCTCTTTTTGAAGAACAGCTGTGCCAGAATAATGGCTTGCCCAAGGTCATCCAGCCAGGTGCAAGTGGAGGAGTGGGGAATCAAACCCGGTTCTCCCAGATTAGAGTCCGCGCATTTAACCACTACACCAAATTGGCTCTGATCACCAAACTGATGAAGTTGGACAATGGCTAAAACAAGATTCCCCCTAAACATTTAGAAAGAGATGTTAAACATTTTACAATTTTACTTCTGAAATCTCACTTATTAAAAATGAATTCTGAGCTGGATCCAATAACTCCTTTCTGCTCGCTCTTCTTCTGACCCAGAAAGACTTCCTTCGATGGAGGAAGTCTTACAGGAACAAAGTCAAAGGATTCAATATAACAGAAGGGAGTAACTGAATCGAGTTTAGCTGAGTCACTAGATGGAAGCACCTATCTTAAGTATTGTTGATGAACTTTAAAGAAATAACATCGAAGAGCAATTTTCTAAGATTAATACTTTTTACAGTTTGTCTTTTTTGTTGCACGTACATTACTTAAGTGTTAATACAAAGACAAGTGCATATTTCAGGGAGCCAAGAATTGGTCCTGGCTGTTGTGGCACATATCCAATAGTCTTATATAGGGTGAAGTTGTTCAGTCACCCTAATAACAGTGAAGGTCTTCATTCAGCCCCATGCGTGAAAAACTCTTACCTATACCAGCCTGTGCAGTTATCCATGGCAAACGCAGGTAAAGGATCACGCCCCAAATGTTCAGCATGCACCGGATCTTTTGGAAGACAGAAGACAACAAAAATGAGGAGCCTCCATCGACACAATCAAAAGGTTATGTTCAGAGTCAATTACTCTGATGCTGTCCCCATCTTCTAGCTTTGACTTTCTGGGGTTGGGCTGACAACCCACCTCCCCTCCCCAATATAGCTCACTCATTGACTTTACCATGACGCCCGTCACCCAGCCGAACCGGATAGGTTCTGATTTTGGTTTGTCAGCTTCCACATCCTTATCGTCCCCCTCTTTCTCCACATCTTCCTTGCTGGGATCATCAGAGTCTGGACTTCCGGGGAAGGTTTGTCCTTTGTCCTGCGTAAGTTGCAAGAAATGTCCAACAATATTTAGAACCAGAATGGCGCAGTGCTTTGAGCTTTGGAGCAGGGAGGTCGAAGACTTGTTCTTCCACAAAGCTCACAGGGTGACCTTGGACTAGTCACTTGCATCCCTGGTGGTCGTGGAAAGTGCCTTCAAGTCACAGCCGACTTATGGTGACCCTGTAGGGTTTTCAAGGCAAGAGGAGTTCAGAGGTGATTTGCCATGGCCTGCCTTTACAGGGCAACCCTGGACTTCCTTGGTGGGTTCCCATCCCAAGTCGTAGCAAGGGCCAGCCCTGCTTAGCTTACAAGATCTGATGAGGTCAGGCTAGCCTGGGACATCCAGGTCAAGGAACCATCGTCTCTAGCGACCTCATATGGTTGTCCTGAGCAGGGCTTTTTTTGTAGAAAACAGCCCAGCTGGAACTCATTAGCATAATAGGCCACACCCAACAGCAGACACTCATTAGCATATTAGGCCACACCCTGGACAGCACAGCACATTAGCCTATCAGGCCGCACCCTCATGTTACCAGAAGTCTGGTCATCCAGCCACACCCACCTTTTGCTTCTTATTCTGTTGACCTTGTTTGTTGTCAAAACCCAGGGCCTTTTTTGTAGCAGGAACGCCTTTGCATGTTAGGCCACACACCCCTAATGTAGCCAATTCTAATGAGTTTCTGCTGTTGGCTGTGGCCTATTATGCTAATGAGTTCCTGCTGGGTGTGGCCAACTCAGGAGCCAGCCGGAACTCCGTTCCTGTGCGTTCCTGCCCAAAAATAGCCCTGGTCCTGAGAGTTCTATGGGAGAGTTCTACGGAGTACGTTTGACTCCTCAGCAGTCTGACCTAAAGATTAGGAACCTTAGCTCAAAGGCACAAACAGAGGGCAGCCCATTTTCTTCCTTGGACGACACGGGACAGAAGGGAAAGGAATCCTCCTCCCCCTATCTGGGATGGCTTCACTCTTCCAAACTCAAATCCCTGTAGTTCACCAATATTTTTAAAATTTACAAACCAAGAGAATCTCCTAACATTTGGGGCATTTGAAAGGCCACCTGCTTCCACATAAGCTTACCTGTGCAAAGCAACAGCCAATCAAGGCCCACTTGTGGTGGTTCCCATCCTTGGAAGTCAAGTGGGTGACTACTTGGGACACAGCCTTCTAAGTAGTGGCGGCCACTACAGAACCCCTTAATGAGGCACCTACCTGATCATCTTTTAGGCACCGGGTGGAAGCTCACATGAAGATATGAAGCTCCCTGACACTGAATCAGGCCATTGGCCCATCAAGGTCAGTATTGTCTACTACAAGGGTCCCCAGCGTGGGGACCATGGGCATCGTGGTGCCTCCCATGCTTTCCTGATGTTCAGCAAGTGTTTTGAGAAAGTGGGCAGGGCCAGTTGGGGCTTTTGCCTAGCCAGGCTTCTGATTGGCCACTGGAGATTTGATTGGCTGTGCTTTTTTTAAAAAATGTTGCTTTGGCAGCAGCTGCCACCACAGCACAAGAATCTTCACTGTGTGACTGAAGGTGAGCTGCAGCGGCCATTTTGTGGCTGGCTCTGCCTCTTCGGCAGCCATTTTGTACCTGGTCCCACCATGCTGTGTCAGAATTCCAAAGGTGCCCACAGGCTCAAAAAGGTTGGGGCAATCTGGTCTATTCAGACTGGCAGCTGCTTTCCAGAGTCTCAAGAAGAGCTCTTTCACGTCACCTGCTACTTGATCCTGAAGCTGTTGGAGACTGAATTTGGGACCTTCTGCATGCCAAGCAGATGCTCTTCCACGGAGCGATTGTAAAATATATAATTTTTGATCTGCTAGATTTTATCCCTATCACCCTGAAGATTACCTCAGTGTGAACACACATGCATGGTTTGTAATTTTGTTTGTAACCCAGTTTTAGGGTTGCCAAGTCGATCTTCGCTGGGAGCGGGGGGCTCCCGGCTGGCGGCTGGTGCGCGCGCGTGCCGCATGCACATCACCCGGAAGTGACATGACGACGCCAGGCACGCTGGGGGCGGGGCCACGGCCATATGAGGGAAAACCATAGAGTGATGCGCACGTGGGGAGGAGTTCCCCCCGGGGCCTCTGGGGCGGGGGTTTCCCTACCCCCAGGGGGACTTGTGAAGCCTACCCAGCTTGGAGACTAAGGTGTGTCCACTAATCATGACCCAAACCTCTCCCTGTCATGCCTGCAGGCTGCTGTTTACATCGGGGAATGTTCAAAACTGTGATCTTCCACTTGCCCTCCAAAGTGGTACTGCCCATTCTACCTCAGAACTAGACCAGAGTATGTAAGATCAGCTTGAGATCTTCTCCTTTGGTTCCTTCTGATCACAGAGTGGAGCACTCCCTGCCTTGTGTGTCCCAGAATCCTCAAATACATCTCACCAGTGTTGCATTTCTGAGCATGTCAAGCGTAGGCCGAATCTTTCGACGTCCAGGCGGTGCTGAGAGGGCGTAAAATTCATATCGGGGGCAGGCATCCATCGTCGCCTCATAATCCGGTGGGGCAGAGAGAGATCCGTTCTCCTCCCTTTGGGGCGGAGGTGTGAGGTGTTTGGGGGTCCCATTGGCTTGTTCTGTGGGAGGCCCACTTTGTAGCTTCCGGACTTTGAACCGCCCCAGTGAAAAAACAGTCTTATATGATTGGGAGCTGGCTTCCATTGCTGGCTTGAATGGTTCTCACCTGTGAGGACAGAGATAAAGCACGGAGGGGCATCAGTGGAAGAATGAAAAGCAGAGCTTAAAATCTGAGTTCGAGCTCAACAGTTGTTGATCCCAGGGATCAACGAGACTGTGTGCCTCTGAGCTTGTGCAGATGGCCTCTCTGTTGCAAAGGAGTTAACCATGACCAACATACATCAGGGAGTGAGATCTGGCCTCGCGAGACAAAGAGTTTGTTTTTACAGATAAAGAAAGGGCACCTATATGCCCACCCTGCAACAGTTTGCAGGGTGCTAGCCTGTTATATTCGGTGGTGGAAAGTACTATCAAGTGACAGCTGACTTATGGCTACCCTGAAGGGTTTTCAACAGAGGTGGTTCGCCATGGCCTGCCTCTGTGTAGTGATCCTGGACTTCCCTTGCTGGTCTCCCATCTAAATATTAACCAGGGTTGACTCTGCTTAGCTTCCAAGATTTGACATGATCAAGTTAGCCTGGACCATCCAGGTCCAGGGAAAGTTAACTCTGGAGTGCCAATGCCAAATAAAATTGCTTTTCTCTGCCCAAGTACTCTGCTAACTGCAAGATTACCTTCCTCATTTTTGGCTGTGTTATTGCTTGCTTACTGCTAGATTGTTTCTTGTAATACGGTCTCATATTAATGGTTTATAGATTGCCTTTTGCTGTAAGCGGCTTTGAGCCTTGGAGAATTTAAGGGACACTTACTATAAATAAAGTAAAAATAAAATGGTTTCCGCACACACATACATGCAACACTAAAAATCCTACAGGGTTCTGTGCCACGAAACCACTGACTACCGAATCCTATAAAGATGGAGCCATTTTGCTCACATATTTTTTATAATTCAGTTTGCCTCTGCAGTGACCCAAAAGGCACCCCTTGACCAATGGACACACACATCCCTCCCACTTTCTGAGATGTTACCAGGCATTGCTCTTGCTTTTCCAAGCCAATGTCTGAATCCTTGAAAATCAGAAACATTAACTTTTTTACTGAGTACCTGCTACACTGCACACAAGATTTATATATACTGCAGTTCTACAAGGTAAACAAGTTTGGTATGTTTCTCAGACGGTTCTTTTTGTTGTTGTTGTTGTTGTTGTTCTCAGAGATCCTTTTGAATGTTAAATTCTAGACACAGCACCAAATGTCACGGTTGCGCAGAATCGTGCAAAGCGCATTGCCCTGATCATGCATCCCATAGCTTCAGCATACCCCTTATTGCTAAAAACCCAGTTCAACACTCTGCCTTCCAAGATCATGAAAATTATGGGCATCGTCCACACAGTTTTGCTTGCCGGTACACCATTTAAAAAAAAATAATAATAATAACCCTATTACAAAGTTGAAGAGATGGAAACTATAAATGCATCAGCTTGAAAGCCCCTCTTTCCATGAGACTGCAGAAAGCCCACTTGGAAGTTCCTGTTTTTCACCTGGAAATAAACTGGCTTCTGCCGAATTAGTATCATGAAGTGTCACTGAAGGACAGAGGCTGGCAGGCAGGCAGGCAGGGAGGGGCACCATTCAAGTTCAGTAGGTCCCTTTAAGCAACCCAGTTCCACTCTACCCCAGTGTTTCAGCAACTGCTAAGGTCTCACGGGGGGGGGGGGGGGGCCCACATCCAGACAAATAAATTCAACAGGTATTAACCACAACTGTTAAGAATGGAATCTCCAAGTCTAGAGGCAGAATAACTCTGTGTTGGTTGCTGGGGACACTAAGCAGTGAACAACCATTGCTAGAAAGAGATTTCTGGAGGAAATGGAATGATCCGTCACGGCCACTCTGTTTCTTAGGATGGAGTTAAGAACATAAGAACATAAGAGATGCCAATGTTGGATCAGGCCAAAGGCCCATCCAGTCCAACACTCTGTGTCACACAGTGGCCAAAAATACCAGGGGCCATCAGGAGGTGCCATCAGGAGGTCCACCAGTGGGGCCAGGACTTTAGAAGCCCTCCCACTGTTGACCCCCCCCCCCAAGCACCAAGAAGACAGAGCATCACTTGCCCCAGAGCCCCTATCTTAACAAAGTTTGTGTCCAGTGGCACCTTTAAGACCAACAAAGTTTAATTCTGGGTCTAAGCTTTCGTGTTCACGCATTCAAGTTGCCTGCAAGCAATGGATTCATCTTCTACAAGAGCCTGTGAAGTTGCCTTCTACTGAATCAGACCGTCGGTCCATCAAGGTCAGTATTGTCTACTCAGCGGTTCTCCGGGGTCCCAGGCAGAGGTCTTGCACATCACCTACTGCCAAATGCTTTAACTGGAGATGCCAGGAATTGAACCTGGGACCTTCTGCATGCCAAGCAGATGCTCTAGCACTGAGCCCCGATGGCCTCTCTAACAGACAACACGTTTCACAAGCACATTCTGGAATCTAATATATTTTTCTTTTTACAAAATCAACATTTCTGTGCCACAGTTAAAGGGCGAGAGAGCTCCGACAAATTGGTCCACTTTTCAACATACCTAACGTGCAACACAGCTTATCGACCACAGAAGGTCACCAGAAGAAAGCTGCTAGATCCTCTCACCAAGGAAGCTGGTTTTGGTACCTGCCAGAGAGGTGAAATTAGAAGAGACGGTCAAGCACGTGCTGTGGAAGATATTCTGGCTGGAGGGGATAGAAACAGGCAGGAACGGAGCAGATTAAACCGGGGAGACAGACGCAGCAGCTCGAAGATATAAGAATGGAGAAAAACAACCAGGCAAGGAAAAATCAGAGGGGAAACGGGCAGACAGAGGCAGAGACAGGTAGACGGCCAGCTCATCCTTGCTTCCAGGGTACCTGTGCCTTCAGTGCGTCTCTTCCACCAGCCCTTTTGAATATTATCTCCCTTCTTGCAGCAGGCTCCTATCCCCCCCTTGCTTTATAAAGGTGATTCTGGGCCGAACTCTTCAGAACTGGACCCAGCAGCCCCCAACTGCCCTCGTCCCTCCCTCCCTCCCTCCCATCCATCCACCTCCTCCTTCTCCAAACAGCCAAACTTTTCCAAGGCTCTGGAAGAACACCCTCTCCCCTCCTTACAAATAACATACATCATTTAGGGCCTGTTTGCTCGCCTTATCTTCTGCCTCCAAAGTTCTTTCCACTGGGCCAGTTTGCACAGAGCAATGGAAACTTGGGAAAGACAATGGAGGTCCAAGAGCCTGGAGACGCGTGGATCTCGTCTGACTGCGCAGACGCTCGACTCGTGCACAGAGGCCCGGCTAGAGAGCCTAGATCCCTCCCAAGGATCCCATGTGTGGGGCAAAAAGGTTTGGAAGAATCACTGACAGTGGGACTCAGCAGTCAGCCCTGGAACATCTTTTCAGTTCCGTAAAACTGCCAGGGCATGAGATTACAGAATTCATTACAGGAGTGCTTGAACTGGTTAGGGTGACTCAGTGCAATTGGTTTTTACGTAGAGTCCCAGAAAACCCAGAGAGCTTGGCACAGGGGACTGTCAGTGAACTGATCATCCTCGTCACACACTCCATCACGATTTCCCTGGTTTTTAGGGTTGCCAACCTCCAGATGGTGCATGTAACAACACAGTCAAGAACTGGAACACTGTACCCAAAAATACTTGACACTTGATTCAAGACATTCTTATATTGGACATTAGAGAAGGAGGAGGTTGGATTTATACCCCGCCCTTCACTACCCAAAGGGGTCTCAGAGCAGCTTACAAACTCCTTTCCCTTCCCCTCCCCACAACAGGCACCCCCCCCACGATCTGGGCCACGCCCCCAACGTGAGCGACGTGGCTGCGTCACCTCAGGTGACACAGCTTCGGGAGGGCGGAGTTCCCCCCAGGGCCCGATTCCGCCGCGGCGGAAATCGGGTCTCCAAAGCGGGGGTTTCCCCACCCCCACTTGGCAGCCCTAGGAGCTACTGGCATTAAAGTCGTGAGCGAACGATTTGGCCACTGCATGAATTCATTTGCCCTGGAGCCCTCCTTCCTGAGTGAAGACAAAAATGTGTGAGCCAGAAGCTAAAAAACTGTGAGCTAGCTCACACTAACTCAGCTTAGAGGGAACACTGCACCCAACATACTTGAGGCAGGATTCCCTGAAGGTGCAACACAGGCCTGTAGCTACTGTGGTGGGGTATTTCAGGGCCTGGCCCCCTGACTTCCTGCCAAGCCCCCGGCCACCTGGAGGACTCTCCACCGCCACCCCTTCCCTAAGTGTGCCTTGCTTCCCCATGTAGGGAAGCAGAGTGCGAATGCCGCAAAAGTGAGTTTAAAAAATATATTTTTATTTTATATTTTGTGACGTCAGTGCCCCCTGACTTATTTAAGGTAAAGTGTCCCTCGCTCGAAACCCAGTCATGTCCGACTCTAGGGTTGCGGTGCACATCCCCGTTTCCAAGCCGAAGAGCCAGCGCTGTCCGAAGACGTTTCTGTGGTCATGTGGCCAGCATGGCTAAACACTAGGGTTGCCAAGTGGCAGTCACCTCCTCCGCGGGGGACTCCCACCATAGAGTTTTCCCTTGTATGGCCGTGGCCCCGCCCCCAGCTTGCCCGGCATAATAGCGTCACTTCCTGGTGACACGCACGCCGGGACAGGGTTCCCCCCGGGGCCCAATTCCCCGGCGTCAGGGAACGGGCCTCTGGGGTGGGGTTATCCCAGCCCCCCGGGGCGACTTGGCAGCCCTACTAAACACCAAGGCGCACGGAACGCTGTGACCTTCCCACCGAAGTGGTCCCTATTTATCTACTTGCGATTTCTTGCTTTCAAACTGCTAGGTTGGCAGGAGCTGGAACTAGAGACGGGAGCTCACTCCGCCACGCGGGGCACTCGGATCTCGAAC